TTTTTTCTGCGTTTCGTACGAAGAACGAATCAATTACGTAGACGATCAAAACATCTGTTGAGTATCAATTGACTTAATTGAGTGAGGAAAGTTCTATTCATGAAAAGAACATATTCGATTTTTGACAAGTTCATTTCGAGCTATCATTACTGAACTTGAGGGGTACGTGACTGAAGAGGGAACCTTTCGAGGTGGTAAATCGCTTTTCGACTCACATTATTTTCATCATGTAGGGAGTTGTGAGTAGTGCAAAACTCCAAGTTGGTTTGTGCTCATGCGCCTTTTTGACCGAGATATGAGTTAATTACTGAAAATGTCACGAATAATAATTAATCAATAACTCACAACTTTGATCAGTTAGAAGTCTGAAACGTTCAGCGTTGGCGGAGATGGATATTGCCTACTTACCATGAGAATCTTAGGCTTATAAACACAACATTTCAGAAGATATGAATTTTATATGGTTTAGGCAATTTTTAGTGAAAATTCACCATAGAAAGCCACAAAACCTTGTTCGTGCGTTTTAAAGCCTCTTCTCGTGTTACTGATCATCAGTGGTTCTTAGGGGTCTATATCTAGATGAAATACGCCGTTACTGATCCAATAAAGGCATTTAAAAGAAATATATGAAAAAACGACCGGTAAGTTCATTTGTTTATTATTAACATTAATTGATGATCTAATCTGCTATTATTTCTTTTTAGTTATCAACATGTCTATTCGTGTAGGTGTTAATTATCATGCAATAGTCACGACGACAATATCGGGTTATAATACTCATGGTACAAGAACAAATCATGAAATGGCATATGGAAATGTATTTGAAACAGTGGATCCATTATTTGAACAACAAATTAATACACATTTTATGGGGATTGCATCATATTTAGAAGAACACGTATAAAATTTAGAATATGATTATTGGAAAGTTTACCCTTTTCTCTTTAGGTTGGTACGTTGTCTCAAGTACCATTGATGATTTTGTACAAATCATCTGTACTATTAGAAGATGAACATTATGCACAAGTATTACAGTTTTCATGGGAACTTTTACTCAATAAAGATGAAGTACTAGCTGCATGTGCTGGTAAGTAATATGGGAAAATTGATGTCTATTAACATTGCATATGTCCATTTTTTTAGCCACGATTGTCATTTTGGCAGCAGCACGTACTGACCATGTAGTTGATAAATTGTTTCATAATGAAATGTATAATGCGTCTGCTATTGTTCGATATAATGTCATATTAAAATTTCAAACGTTATGGCGTTTCCATTATCAATTTTGGATTCCAGCTTCTATTTTGGCAATATAACGAATCGTAAGAAAAGCTATCTTTTCCTGGAAATCAGCAGGTTGTTCTTTGCACTTGAAAAGTGTTAGTCATGAACCCACCTTTACGAGTTCTTAAAAATTCATAATAAGAAATATATACTTAAAACAACCATTCCTATTTCTACTTCAGGCAATATTTGTTTTAGTGCAGAAACGAAAATAAGGTTAGAAAATAAAATATTTTGAAAATTCCATTTTTAGCCTTTGACCGTCGTGGATCAAAAGTTTGATAATTCGACCATTTTTAGTCCAAATTGACTCAAAGTTTCAGGAGACACTCAAAACAAGCCACAGATACAAGATCGAGTCAGAAAATGCGGTTGCAATTCTCCGTTACCAGGAAAACTTTCCAGAAACCTCCTCCAAAACCTCAGCATGTAAGTGGACGTTTGGACCATTTTTCCGACTCGATCTTGTATCTGTGACTTGTTTTGAGTGTCTCCTGAAACTTTGAGTCAATTTGAAATTGCTCTAAAAAAAGTAAGTTTGCAAGTGTAAAGGGGAGAGAAGGAGCCAGAGATGACCAGTCAGAGAAAAGTATATCACGTTGAGGCTGGTAAC